GCAGCCGGGTGCCAGGGGGACACAGTGGGGTGATGGCTGGGGTCCCCCAGCAGCAAACCCACTGCCCAGAAACCCCCCCTTCGCACCATTGGGTTTTCCAGGGGGAGAGCGGATGGGACCACATCTGCCGGGGAATTTTTCCCGGCCACATCCCGGCTTTGAAGGCACCACCGGCCGCCCGGTTGGCGGTAACGGGGCCAAGCGCCTCCTGCCCCGGGGGCCAGAGAGCTGGGAGCCAGAGATGCAGTTCACTCGCCAGACGCTTGATGGGGCTACGAAACCGGTTACCGGGGCACCTGGCAGAAAGGGGAAGGTGTGTGGAGGGGGACACACCACAAAACAGCCTCTGGGCCAGATGTTTTGGGGTCCCCCTGTGCGGGTACCATAGCTGCCAGCATCCCTGAGGGATGCTGGCCCCTGGTGAAACAGCACCCAGCGCTTGGCAGCTTCCCTTTGGTCACACCGTGAGGGAGGGAGGATTGCCAGCACCTGGAGAAAGCCAGAAGATTTGCCCCCATAAGATTTTCCTGCTGTCTGTTTTGAGAAGCAATGGAAAGGGAAGGCGAGCAGCTCCGGCAGCGAAGGAGCCAGCATCTCCAGTAACACTGCCTTGGCAAAGCACCCATTGAGTTTTATGCTGCTGCTGCAAGACCAGGAGATCTTGCCACCTCCCGAGACACTGCTGCCTAAACCCAAGCTCTTTACAGGCTGCTGTGGGGGGTAATTTTCCCATATTTCACCCCAAAGCAAAGGAAGGATGGGGAGATGCAGTCCCAAAGCAGAGCCTGAGTGTGGAGAGAGGTGCAGCCCCGCATTGCGGAGCCCGCTGCAGGCAAGGACCAAGCTCCAAATTCCCCAAACATTGCTGTCAAACTTTCCAGCACGGCTCTAAATCCACCAGGACTTGCCTGGCACCAGCCGGCCGAGCAAGCTGGCAGCAGTGTGCGGACGAGAGCAGCTAACGAGAGGCAAAGTCTCTCCTTCTCAATATAAAATCAAAAAAAAAAAGTAAAACAGAGTAAGCACGGTCCCCATAAATCATGAGCTAGTTACTGATGGAGAGGACTCCCCTCCCTCTTGCTCCGCACACTGCGACACAAATTATGGCCCCGACTTCGCTGTTGTTCAGTGATGAACATCTGAAAAGGCTGTGACAGATGAGAAAAGGGATGATTTAACAGCCATAAATCCAGCCAGCTTAGAGGTGTTTTTACAACCAAGCCCATCTTGAATCCCCTCTGTTATGAATACTTATCACTCCCAGACACCACTACAATGGAAAGATTTTTAACAGCTTTAATAGAGACGCAATAAAACCCCCAGAGCCCAGCAAGCAAACGTCCTTTTTATCCCTGGAGGGAGGGAGAGGGGGCTGAGAGCCGCCGGCTGCACTCAAGCTTGAAGGATCAGAGCTGGAGCAGCCACCAGGCCACCGCTAACCCCTGGGCTTAATGGATGGGTGGCATCACTCAAGAACTGTATCAGCTTTCCTAAAGCTGTAGCATAGAGGGTGTAATTAATACACCACAGGGAGGGAGGGATGGTGAGACAGGCTGCCCCCAAGATGTACAGCCCCTTACCTCCTTCTCCAGTGCTTCTCCTACCTTTGCCAGGGTCTTCTCCAGGAGTCAAGAGGCTGCAGTTACCCAAATCACACCTGGTCTAACTCACCTTCAGGGATTTAAAATGAGGGTGATTTTCACTCCCTGAGTAGGGTACCACCCCTCAGCTGTCCCTCGCCTCGCCTGATGCACCACATTTCTCACACATTAAAAGCTAAACGAGCTTAACGACCACCACCCAAAGAGCAGGACAAGGCTACCAGACCTCCTGGCTTAGGATTAAGTGGGTGTCACACCTTCTTGCTGTGCGTGGTACCCCTGTAGCCTCTCTATACCATTCTGCCAGTGCAGGCTGCACCCAGCCACCAAAATCAGCACCCGCTGCAAAGGGCACTCGGTGCTGAGCAAATTCCTGACCAAAAAGCACCTCCTTTCTTATACACACAAGCTTATCGGGCACAGCGAGGTGATAAGTAATTCATCCAGGGAGGGAACAAAAGCACTCCCAGGGCTTGTGGCATCTGGTTTTCCATAGCTGGTCAGCCCACACCCATGTAAAACCCCAGAGAAGACATCCAAGCATGGGCTGGTGGGCTTCCTTCCTCTAATGGAGAGCCTGTGGAGTGCTCCAAGGAGGGTAATTAAAAAAATGAAGGAGCAGGGCAGCTCCTTCCTTAAAGAAACATGGCTGTGAAACCCTGCCCCTGGGCTATGGAGAGAGAAAGCAGCACTGCAGGGCTCAGCTTGGCCATATGGCGACCTGAGGGGACGTTGTCTCTGAAGCCGGGGTGGAGGATGACACTCACAGCCCATTAATCTAAGGGAACATCTTTTTTTAATAAGATAATAGTGAGTAATTGATTTTTAAATACACTGAAATCAAATGTCCCGAGGCCAGAGCAGGATCCCAGCTCCGTGGTCGGATCAGCAGTGACTGGCAGAGATCGAGCGCACAGGGGAAAAGAAAATCAGAATTACATCTCCTTCGTGTGCCTGGCTGGCTGCGGGGCAAACGCTTAACGTTTCTTTAAAAGGTGCATCAATTTTTCCTTATTTAAAAAGTAGGTCATCCAAAGGGGATGCTGAGCTGGGGAAAGGCACCAGGGACCATGGAGGCCGAACAGGAGGGGAAGATCCATCTGATTAAAACACGCGACAGCGGCTGAGCAAGAAAGTAATTTTTAAGACAATTTATTCCAATCTCTCTCTCACCCCATCCTTCCCGCAGTCCCAACTGGAAAGGTTTTATGGACATTATTTTATTTTAATTAATTTTATTTTTATTTTTTTTTTAGAAAAATACACATGCAAATAATATATATTTTACTGCTAAACTTTTTTTTTCATGTTGGAAAAAAAAAAAAAGAAAAAAACAAGGAAACAAAGCAGGATTCAGGAAAGATCCGAGTGGAGACTAACCAAGGGATGCTCCAGGATGCAGGGCTTGGTGCTGAGCTGCTTGATGCTCATGCTCCAGCAGATCCTTTCCACCTGTAAGGTCTTCATCGGGGAGAGGGGTTGCCGGAATACCGCTAAACTTTTTTTTCATGTTGGGAAAAAAAAAACCAAAAAAAGAAAAAACAAGGAAACAAAGCAGGATTCGGGAAAGATCCGAGTGGAGACTAACCAAGGGATGCTCCAGGATGCAGGGCTTGGTGCTGAGCTGCTTGATGCTCATGCTCCAGCAGATCCTTTCCACCTGTAAGGTCTTCATCGGGGAGAGGGGTTGCCGGAGGGGACTAACGTGCACAAAGTGCGATGAAGACCTTTCTCCCAGGTTTGGGAATGGACAAGGGAAAGCCACTGTAGGATCCATCCTTCCTACAAGACCCAACATGGAGCAGAGTCCCAGCCCCAGCAACAAGAGAAGCCCAGTTTAAGCAAAAGCATCACTTTGGTGCTAGGAAATGACACCAGAACCTTAGAGCTACATGGAAAAAAATAAAAAAACAACCCCAAAAAAACCTGTTATGTTGTTTATCTTATGGGATCCAGCTGACAGCACGGGGAAAAATGGACTGATGGTCCCTTAAAACCTGGACAGTGTATTTTGGGGTGAGGCCGAGCGATGGACCCTTAGTTTCACAGGGCTGAGGTTTTCTGTCCCCATGTCCTGACCAGGTCCCTTCAGAGCAGGGATGGAGGGGAGCAGCGATGTCCCCGTGTCCCCAGCCTCTTTGCAAACGCTGTGCCGAGGTCCGCAGGGAAAAACCAGCTACACTGCAGCAGGGGTAGCTGCCACCACTCGAGCAGAACAGGAGAAGTACTTAAGACAGGGCTATTTCAGGTTTGATTGATGATCAGCTGGAGCGAAGGGGCCAGGGAAGGAAAGGGCAGCGAGGTGCAGCCCAGGGAAGGAGAGCAATTAATCTAATTCCACAGCTGCTGTGGGAAGCCAGGAGGCTTTAGAAAAAGCCACAAGCCCACGGCAGCCACTGACGATGCAGCAGGGAGAGGGCACAGGGGGAATCTGCCTTCCCTGCTGCTTTTTCACCTCCTCCCAAGCCACTTTCACATGTTCCTCCTCTCCCAGTGATCCTGCCCAAGGCCATGGCTTTTTTTCCTGCTGATCCAGGCTCATGACACGGAGCAAGCTGTGTTCTGTCTCTGCCCAGAGGTACAAAACCACACACAGGCAGGGCAGGGAAGGTTTCCCAAGGGCAGGGTTTCCTTCCAGCTCCCAAAGAGCCTTATACCAAGGAAGGCAGCAGCACTTTGCCAGCCCCAGCTCTGCTCCCAGCAAGCCCCCTCGTGGCCCACGTCCCCAGCTGGTGGTGACATCCCTGGACACACAACACAACCTGCTGATGGACTGACTCAGAGCCTCATCCCATCGCCATCCTCAGCAGCCACCTCCTGCATTGCCAGGACAAACCCACGAGCTGCAAACACCCCCTGCCTCACTATGGAGGGAGATGGGTCAAACTGGAGGCAGAGCCAGCTGCTCTCCCCCATCGGGGGCTTCCCTCGGTGGCTGGATGAGGTCCCTGCCATCACCTCCTGAGTCCCTGCTCCAGCTCCAGCTTCTTGCCCAGCAGATGCCAGCGGGGAAAGGCAGCGGGAGGCTCTCAGCCTTGGATTCCTCCGGATTTACCACCATCCACAGCAGCCTCGGAAAGGCACTGAGCAGCAAACACACGTGGGAGCTCTGCACCCACCGCCATCGTGCCATGAAACACCAAAAAGCCCAGGCAGCATTTCACAGGGGGGGCTGGAGACACTGCGATCCAGCTCTCATTAAACACACCTGGGGGCTGCAGCAGTCACTCTCTTTTTGCTTTTGTCTTGTGTTTTGTTTCTAGGTTTCTTTTTAACTGACAAAATACACTTTTGGGACTGTCTACTCTGAAAATAGATGCAGGAGGGTCTGGCAAGGGAGGAGGAGCTGTTTGGCTCCTATTTCTACAGGCTGCCCTGACGCAGCTCTAAAGTTTGGTGGACGATCATGCAGGTTTTATTGCAGCTTGTGTGTATGATTTTTTTTTAAAGTAGCCCAGCTTCAGTTCCAGGTAGCCCCGGAGGTGGGTTTCTCTCCCCTCTGACCCGCTCTGGCCACCGTCTCTCTGCCGCAACGTGCCGGCCAGGTGGCTATTCGGTGGCCATCTGCTCGATGTGGTCACTGAGCAGCTTGTATTGCTCTGTGGAGGAGAGAGAAAAGGGTGCTGGGAGGGTGCTGAAGCATCCCAGACAGGCAGGTGGGCTCCATCCCTCTGGGACACCACCAAGGGGGTGTGCATCCCCCGGGCTTGTCCCTACCTTCATCCAAATTGCCGATGGTCGCCTGCTTCTTCAGGAAGTCGCTGCAGAGCTTCTTGTTCAGGCCGAAGGCCAGCATGTTATGAATGAAGGTGCTGAGGAAAAGACAGAGATGCTCTTGGTGAGGGAAGAGCCAGGCTGCCCTTTCTCCCTCCCAACCTTCCTCTTCCTCTCCACAGCTCCTTGTACTGGGCACTGGGATGGTGCTCAGCTCCCAGAGCAGTTCTAGGTCCCTGTGGTGCCCAGATTTGCAACGTAAGGGGCAGGAGCAGGTCCCAGGGAGAAGTATAGAGCATCCTCTGCATCACGAGGGATGTCCCCAGTGGGGGAACATCTCTAAAGCATCCCACCCAGAGCTGGGGAGGACACACCGCAGAACCCAGCGGCAGGAGGGACATTCCCCTCGCCCTGCTCACCCCAGCTGCCCGAAGGTGATGTTCTCATTGAAGCGGAGGCTGTCATCACGTTCCTCCTGTGTCATGTGGCACCACTTCTCCCTGCAAGGCACAAACCCGTCTGGCACCGCCGTCACCCCGGGACCCCCTGCCTGCATCCCACCCCCCCACCATCCCCGGGCCACGCCGCCTGAGGACAGCAGGGCACCAGGAGCCCCTCAACTGCCAGCGCTCCCCCACACACGCATCCATCCACAGATCTCTAGATGCCCCAGGAAAAAGTCTTCTTCAACCTTGGCTTTCTCCTGAAGGTGCTGATTAAGAGGTAGGAACTAGCATCAGCCTCTCCAGCACAGAGCTTGCGTTTCTCACCTTCGCTGCCACAGCTTTGGCAGGAGGAACAAGCAAGGAAGCAGGGGTGTTAGCAGCTCTCAGGGATGGCCATTCCAGCAGGGCACCTCTGAAGCCCCCCAACATGGGAAGAAGGTACCAGGAGGGTACCAGGCACCTCTCCCCCATCTCCTGCAGGGCTCCAATGCCTTGAGCACCGAGCAAGCTGCTCCCCAAACATATCTCCTCCACTCCAATAACGCAGGGGGCTCCTACACCCCTCCCCACAGTCCCACTCAGGGGTAGAAGTCCCAAATCTCAGCGCTGCCCGGAGGATGTCCCAGCTCCACTCTGGCTCCCTCACAAAGGCAACTGCAGCATTGCCTTAAAGGAAGGGGCTTTTTAAGCTCTAGATGCTTGCAACCAACTCGAGGCGGTGGCAGGAGTCCCCATCCAGGTGTCCCACTCAGGAATAAAGCCTGTGTCACAGAAATGTCACTGCGGTGGTGCAACGCTCAGGTGGTGGCGGGGGGGCTCAGTGCATGCACGCCGGGGAAACTACAGCTCCAGGGTGAAGCCAGCCCCCTCCCCGGAAACTCAGGTGTGGTTACAGCCAAGGATAAGAGGAGGAAAAGCAAGGAAAAACAGGGATAGGTAGAAGAAAAACAGCTCTATGGAGGAGAAGGAGGAGGAGAACACCAGGAGAGGACCCCACGCTTGCAGCTGTGGCACGCCAAGCAGGACGGAAGGAGCCGTGTGGGGTGGAAAGGGTGGCTGGGGAGAAGGGTGTCTCAGTAAATCCAGTGAGGCCAGCTCAGCCCCAGAGCACGTGTGTGATGCTGAAACTGGAAAAGGATGAGTGCTCCATCAGGCTGACCCCACGAAGGGGACCCTGTCCTCATTCAAGTCAGCCCAGCCCGGGTGAAGGCTGCGGAGCTGAGCCTGTGGTCCCCAGGGGTGAGCTGCTTATATTTATAGGGCTCTGGAAACTTATACGATACGTTTAAAGGGATTTAAAAAAAAAGAAAAAAAAGGTGTAATTTCTCCCAGATAAAGCTTTCGATAGCAAATAAAAACCACATCTAAATCTGGAGGCTGAAAAGAAAGGAGAAGAATTAAATTAAGCAGCTTTGAAATCTGGAAGCTCAAGTTCACAGATCTCACTGGCCCACTTTCAGAAGAAGCATGTTTGTAACTAATTTTTTTTTTCCTGCCTTTTTATGTTTTTGAGAGAGGAAGGGGAGGAAAATAAAAAAATATCAAAGTGCCCAAGAAAAAATTCACCACGCGTTTGGCTTGTTACTGGGGAGTAAAATGCCTGAGAAGGGGGAAAGCCCACATGTGGCTCTACTCAAACCCTTTGATCTTGATAGATCAGGCAGGCGCAGGGGTGTGTAACCCCAGGGGCTGGGATAACACCTTGCTGTATTTCGGTGTGCCCAGGAAGACCCTGCTGGAAGGAAGGTGCCGGCAAGAACCACCCTGGTGAGATGGGCTTGGATCACTCGGCATCGCTCATCTTTCACCCCACACAGCCAACCTGAGCAACGCTCCATCTGAGCAATATTTAAGTTACCCATTCTCTGGAGCATGCCTTAGCCATGTGGAAGATTTAATGCCAAGCTTCAAAGAACCCTCATCCTCTTGCTGATGGCATCGCTTGGAGTGATTTGCTCCGAGATCGAATATCCCACACTCCAACAAGACAGCAATGAGTCCCCGATCCCCAATCCCAGCCCGGAGCCCTGAGGGATGTGGCTGCTTTTGAGCTTTGCAACCAGGGAGGACACGCTCGCGATTGCAATATGCAGCCCCCCTTTGCATTTTTCTTTTAATCCAAAAATGGCAGCACAAAAGTGCCTTTAAAAAAAAAAAAAGAAAAAAAAAAAAAGACAGACCAGCTTTTCCAGCTGGCAAAGGATCTTCAGCACCTCTATGTGGCAGCAGAAGCTGGGAGCAAGCGGGAAGGACAGGAGGGAGGGATGCTTTATGCTTTCTCCATGAAGAGACTCAGTTCATGTCCAAAACCTGCCCGGGGAACCATTCCTGGCACAAGCTTCCCCAGCAGCTGGGCATCTGATTCCCACAGCGCAATATCACAGCTTGAAACCACTCGAGCTTCTTTTTAAAAAGCTCTATATTAAATAGGAGCCAATCTCAACCTTTCTGGCCATTTTGAGAGGGTGATTCCCGTGAAGTCGAACCTCCAGCGGCCGTTCCTCCTGGGTGGAGAAAGGGCCTTTCAGAGCCCCCCTGAAACATGTTACCCCCCTCCCCAGGGCAGGATTTGGACCTGAAGTGAGCGTCAGCCTCTGGACACTAAAGCACCGAAGTACGGGGACAGACACACCTCTTCTCCTCTTCCTCCCCAGCGTTCCCTCTGGAGCGGCAGCAGAAACGGGGGCCGACAAAAGTGGTGGGTGAAAGATCATGCAAGACAGAGGGATGGAGGGGAAAGGAGAGAAGAAGAGACGGAAGAAGGTTGTTAGAGGCAGAGAGAGGAAAGAGAGAGAAAAAGAGGAGTTTAGTTCTGGTTCCTTCCCCGCCGTCCCCTGCCCTCCCCACCGAGAGGAGGAAAAAAAAACCTCCCCAGGTCTTCAGTGCAGCCCTGGGAGGACACAGCCCAGATGCTCCAGCAATGCCCTGGCCAACCCACAGAGATGGGCACCATCATAAACCAGTCACCGCAGACCCTGCAGTCTGCCAAGGTCAAACACCATCCCTGGCATTTCAAATCCAGCCCGTGGGACCCCAGCCCTCGTCAACAAACTCCTCACGTGCGGCAAGCAGCATCCCAGTTCACCCAGTGGCTTGTGTTATCCTCTCCGGAGGACTGAGGGAGGGTCACCACCACCTTCCAACCCCCCTGAGATACTCAGAGATACTCCAAGCTGCAGCTCCCGAAGCTCATTCGTTAGTCAGGCTCGTTTCTGCAGCAGAGGCAGACTCAGCCATCAGATTAATTGGGAAAGGCACTCAGAGCAGAGAGCAGCTGCTGGTGGCGTATGTCCTTGTGAGACATTAGCTGCTGCTAATTTGGGGCTTAATCAAAGCAAATGCAGTTATGGTTACATTAGTGTTCAATAGGTTCTTTCAGTGGCTTGGTTGGAAAAAGAGAGGAGCGATAAAGGAGAAAGCAGAGATTGATCGGTGCGCCGAGGCTGGCAGAGCATCCCGTGGTGTGAGCCAGGGCTGGGCTCAGGTGGTGGGGAGGACACAGGAGGACCAGCTGCTTCAAGAAGTGCCCTCACTGCTCAGAAAGGGGCTGTTCAAATGCTCCGAGCTCAACGACTCTCACGCCCAGAGCTCAAAGCCTCAAGGCACTGCACAGACTTCGGGGAGGAGTGAAACTACAGTTGAGAGAGGAGTGAATTGCTCAAGCCCTAACGGCAGGTCCATGGTGGAACAAGAGATGGGCACAAGCCCAACAAGCATCTCTCCCACCCTTGCAGCCTGTGGGGTCTCCATGTCCAGGCACCCAGATGCTTCCTGCACACAGAGACCCTCCAAAACAAGCAGCCCCTTCCCTGTGCAGGGTTTATCTTCATCCTCCCACCCCTCAGGGCTGACCATGCTGCCATCTCCAGCGCTTGTCCTTGCTGCTGCCTGGGGTTGGTCCCCACACTGAGCTGGCAGCACTTCTATGGCCCTTTGGGGGACCGCCAGGACCCAGGTCATCCCTTCCCCATCTACTGTCCCTCCCCGCAAAGGGCTGCACCAAGCATCTTCTCCCACATTTGCTGGCAAACTAAGCACCAATCCTGGCTGGGTTTTCTGGAAACACCTCTAGGGCTTTGCTTTCACAAAAATGATGTAAAATGAGTAAGAAAAAACTTCATACTCCCAAATTCTTAAGAGAACACAGAAGTCGCTTGCCCACCCCACAGCCCTGTGGCCCCAGGAGCTTTGCAATCCGGGCTGGAAAACGGAGTGGTTCCCCATGGTCTGTAATGCTGAGGGACATCAGAAGCGGTGGGGAATGCCAAGGGGCTGGAGGGGACATGGTGCCTCCTCTTCCCATGGGGACATGTTCCTACCTGGTGGTGGGGGACCGCTTCCTGCGCTCGCAGTGCACGGCGTCGAAGAAGGCGGCGTTCCAAAACCGCAGGTTGTGCCTGCAGGGAGGGAGGGAGGGAGATGTTGGGCACAACCACCCCCCATCTCCCCCAGCCTGCCCCCGAGTCCTCCCAGGGCCAAGTTCACCCACTTTCCGGAGGCCAGGAGACGATGCAATTCTGGCAGATTTGGTCCATTTTTGGGCCAGCTCTTTGTGTGGCTGCAAACACCTTCCCACTAGGATGAGGGATGTGCAAAAGCCACAGCCACTTCTTTTAGGGGTGGCAGCAAATTAAAAGCACTCATAAACATCTGGAGAAGGTATAGACAAGCAGAAAAAATCCCCTCCCCAGGGAGGCCAACATCAGGTAGGAGCCAGCTGGCCCTGGACAGGCTTTACCAGATCGGCTGCTGCTTGAGGTGCATGTACAGGTAGATCTTCTCTCCTTTCTTCTCCTCCTCTGGGCTCTGCACAGAAACTGTGGGGACACACAGTTACATGCCAAGGTCTGGATGACTCCTACCTTCCCACCCATGCACAGACTTTGTGCCCCCCTGCCAGCTTGGCATCCAAGCAGCCGTGATGGCAAGGTTGGCAAACCAAATACTCATCCCCAACACAAAGTATGGATGTCCCAGGAGGATACTCAAGGGACTGGACCACTGGTTTGGTAGCACACACAGCTACCAAGGAGACTGGAGCAGCACGAAAGTTCAGAGGGAGTGGGTGCCTAAATCTCTGCAACCTGTGCCACCGAGGACAAGATGCCACAAGATTTCATTGCGGGACAAGGGCTGTGGCTGCTCCAAAGCAAGGAGCTGTGGAGGTTCCTTTGGAGCACTTCTCTAGGAGCTCAGAGGAGACAGGAGAACAGAAGACCAGTTCTTCCTGCCCTTCTCCCCACCCCACAGTGCTGGCAATTCTGGCCATCTTGTACCACTTCCAACCCTTGCTCCTTCCCCAGGGATGCCTTGACCATGCCTACTTCAGCAGTGCTGGCTCCACTCACCCGTCTTCTTCAGCTTCTCCTTTGGTTTGTCCTCGCCTTCCCTGTGGCACAGAAATCAGTGTCAGTTCCCACAAAGCCTGTCCCCCTGACAGCCCACACAGCAAACCCCTGTTCTCCTTGGCAAGGGGAGCACCTTTATTTGAACCCCCCTCCTGCTCCCACACCACCATCCTCGGGCCCAGGGGGCTAAGGTGGCTAAGAAACTGTAATGTCCATCCCAGTCAGACCTAGCAGAGATAATGCAGAAGACAACAAAGCAGCAGCACAATCTCCTGGAACCATGCCCAAGGGACACAGGACTCCCAGACCATAAGATGCCCCATGACCAAGTTATGAAACATGGGACCATCCTCCCATGGCCATGATAACTCCTGGCTCATGGTGGCCCTGCACCCAGAAGGTTTCTGGCTTGGTCACCTTATGACTGCATGCCTCAGCCCACCCTGCCCTCCCAACAGAGTGGTACCCACTCGCTCTTTTTGGTGGTAGGACCCTTCAGTTTGGTCTCCAGGCCCCCAAAGAAGCCCTTGACATTCTCTGTCTTGGCCGACGTGTTTTTCAGCAGTCGCTCTGCGATGTCCTTCTTCTCTGCCAGCCAGCTGTTGGCCGACTTCAGGTATGAGTCGATGCTGCCCATGGGCTTCTCCTTGGCCTCCAAGGGCAGTGTGTGGGTCTTGCCTGTGGGCAAAGAGGCAGCAGCTCAGTTGGTCCCATGGTCCTGGGTGCTGCCAGCTCCTCGGGGACCTGCTCCCAGCTACAAGATGCACCACAGAGACCCAGAGCCAGATGGAAACAGTGCAGACACAAACCCATCCCAATTCCTGTCGGACTTTCCCCATTTTGGACGGAAAATCCAGCCCTGTGGAGGGGTCACCACCACACACCAAGCAACGAGACAAGGTGCTTCTGGGCTGGGGGTTTCACTTCACATCCCCAGGGTTGGGGAATATCACGGGATCACCACATACAAATTTCCCAGTCTAGAAGCAACAGCAAAAGAGCAACAGCATGAACTACCACCCCAGGAGGGCTCTCCAGCAGGTTTGCACAGTTTCTGGGCCACAGAGGCTCTTATCTGCTCGGTATCAGAGTAAGCTTGGCTACCCATCCATCACCCTTCCCATGCACAGGGCACACTTCACCACTGGTCTCCAGCACAAGCAAAGCCTGAGGGTGCAGACACCTCTTACCCATGTAGTAGTAGGTGAAACACATGGTCATGAGGTTCTTGGCAGGGCTGAAGTCATCCATCTGGTGACACCTGACATGGGGGGAAGGTTCGGTGAAGACACCCAGTGATGGCAACCCAAGCAGCATCATGGTTGCTGCTCCTCCTCGAGCCGTGGCTCTGATCTCAGGGGGTTACAAGGAAGCCCCAAATCCCCCCGACTTACTCGAAGAGCACGAGGGCGAACGACTGCATCAGGCGGTAGAAGGTCTGCTCCGAGACACACTTGGAGTTGCAGCGCTGCAGGCACAAAGCCCAGGGTTTAGCACAGCCCGGTGGGGCAGCTGCCTGCTGCTAGCAGCCAAGGGCATCCTCACCCCCCCAGGACCCCCCCACCACAGGGAGATGGGCAGAGAGCACAGGGTCCCTAGAGGGCTTCCCTCTAGGAGACAGCATTTTGCCTCTCTGAGCTGTTCTTCTAGGGAATGGGATGCTTCCGACTGCTGATGGGATTTCATTTTAAATAAAACAGGTGACTTCCCTCCCACGTTGCAGCCAGCAGGTATCTAACTGCCTCCAGACACATTGATCCACTTCTGTGTCTCACTAGAGTGAGACAGCACAGTGAGTATACTGAGGTTCCTCCCTTTCCCCAAGTCCCTGCCCTCCAGAAATATTGCTTGGGGCCATTGCTACATCCCCCTGGCCTGAGCCCTCCTGTGCCCAGGCTGCTCCAGAGCCCCCATTGCCACTTTGCCCATCTCTCCCCTCACCTGGGCGCTCACGTATCTTGCGAACCATTCCCTGCCCTTCCCGTTCTCGCCGCTGCAGAGCTCACCAAACCTGGCCTTCTCTTCTTGGTCCAAATCCTCTCTGAAATGGGGGAAAAGAACAAAAAAAACAAAACAAAAAAACCAGTGTTAAAGCTGAGGATGTGGCCATTATCCACCAGCCAGCCAGCACGGCTCAGGTCCCCCCCATAACATCCCTCTTGGCGGCAGCACCCCCATGCTGCAGTGCTGGGAGGAAGGGAGCATCCATTTTGTCATCCCTCAGCTTACGCTGCTCTTTTGGTTCCTCCCTGGCAGGGGGGAAAGCAGAGGCAGAGGGAGAAGGGAAGAGCCAAGAGCAGCTTGAGCAGAAGCTGAGCTCCAGAGACAGGCACTCTGCCCCGGAGCTAAAACAACCCCTGGCGCTGCTCATCATGCTCGGTTTGCTCAATCCTGCTTGACATGCTGAGCCACAGCGTTACGGAGACCACAGCAACGGGAGCTGGGGGGGATGAAGGGCTGGGGGGGGGAAGCCGGGGGCTGCCGGGGTGCCCCAGGGCACACATGAGCTGCTGTCATTTGTACAAGCAGCAGTAGAGATGCCCAACAGGGGAGAGGAGATGGAGCCCCTCCACCACGGCAAGACCCCAGCATGGGAAAGGGGAGAAAGAAGAGGGGAGGGAAGTTGGGGATGCAATGTGCCTGAGAGAGGGGTGCAAGTCGGAGCTTGCACACACACACACAGACACACACACCCCCCGTAGCTCCAATGCTGCAGTAATACCAGGAGCCACGAGCTGCGTTAGCCAAGCACGGGGAAGGACACAAGCTGATGCTCCCGGGGTGGGAAAGCAGCCAGATCCCGTCCTGCAGGATGTCCCCTGGCAGCAGGATGGGCCCCGCTCGCTCACCCCCCCGTGAAGATCTTCTCCACGTAGTGCCGCATGAACTCCCGGCGCTCGGCCGTCACCTCGTCCCGGGCCGACTCGGTGCTCTGGCTGGAGGAGAAGGACTCGTTGGAGGAGGAGCGGCGGTAGCCACCCCAGTGCCCGGGAGAGTCACCCATGTCATTCTCACTGTCCGCCGACTCGGTGGCATCGCTCTCCTCCCCGGCCACCTCCTCTGTGTCCCCCAGGTGCCCGTTGCCGCTGGGGGCAGCGGGAGGAGAGGACTCTGAGGGAACACAGGCTGGTGTTTCGGCATCAAAGTCAATGAGGTTCCCCACAGGCACGTCCAGGGGGGCTTCCATGGCTCTCCTAGAGGATGTGGTGGTGTTGGGGGGACTCACTCCTCGTCCTTTCGCCCCTCACTGGGGTGTCAAGGCCATCGCTGGCAGGATGCCTGGGAGGATGGGCTGGCTAAGACAGGCAGGTCCTTCCGTGGGGGGACAGGTTACTGCAGAACATCTGAAAGACAGGAGGAGGATAAGAGTGAGGACAGAGCCCTGGGAAACCACCACTATGGATCTTGGGCAAGGAGACCACAGGCCACCACCTATGATGTCCCCAGGATGCCCACCAGCAGTGGGGACGCACAGGACAAGGACACACTGGGCAGAGATGGCAGCTCTCCATCAGCCCTGAGAACAAGCAAAGCCACACAGTGCTCATGTGCTTTCTGCACCATTCAAGTGGGTTTTTCATCCTTCAGCCCAGAAAAAGAGACAAATTGAGCCCAAGATCCATGTGCCACATTTGGGATGTGACATCTCTCAGCCTGACGGGCAAAACTGGGCCGGTGTGAGCCAGCAGCCAGCAAACACACTGGTGATTTTCCAAGCAGCCCCGGAGAAGGATCCTCCTCTCCCCTTCCCTCCTCCCTGCTCACGGGTCTGCCTGACCCCCTTTGGAAATGGGACCATCTCCGGGGTGGAGCATCCCATGTTGGTTAAACATGCACCAACTTGGTTAAACTGGGAACAGAAAGGGGATGATAAAAGCAACAGAAGCCGTAACTGGATGTGGTCGTAGGGCTCTAGACTGCAATTAATTAGATTCATTAGTTTCTGTATCTAACCCACATTGCAAAGGCCCTGCAGTGATGCTCCCGGGGTGGGAAAGCAGCCAGATCCCGTCCTGCAGGATGTCCCCTGGCAGCAGGATGGGCCCCGCTCGCTCACCCCCCCGTGAAGATCTTCTCCACGTAGTGCCGCATGAACTCCCGGCGCTCGGCCGTCACCTCGTCCCGGGCCGACTCGGTGCTCTGGCTGGAGGAGAAGGACTCGTTGGAGGAGGAGCGGCGGTAGCCACCCCAGTGCCCGGGAGAGTCACCCATGTCATTCTCACTGTCCGCCGACTCGGTGGCATCGCTCTCCTCCCCGGCCACCTCCTCTGTGTCCCCCAGGTGCCCGTTGCCGCTGGGGGCAGCGGGAGGAGAGGACTCTGAGGGAACACAGGCTGGTGTTTCGGCATCAAAGTCAATGAGGTTCCCCACAGGCACGTCCAGGGGGGCTTCCATGGCTCTCCTAGAGGATGTGGTGGTGTTGGGGGGACTCACTCCTCGTCCTTTCGCCCCTCACTGGGGTGTCAAGGCCATCGCTGGCAGGATGCCTGGGAGGATGGGCTGGCTAAGACAGGCAGGTCCTTCCGTGGGGGGACAGGTTACTGCAGAACATCTGAAAGACAGGAGGAGGATAAGAGTGAGGACAGAGCCCTGGGAAACCACCACTATGGATCTTGGGCAAGGAGACCACAGGCCACCACCTATGATGTCCCCAGGATGCCCACCAGCAGTGGGGACGCACAGGACAAGGACACACTGGGCAGAGATGGCAGCTCTCCATCAGCCCTGAGAACAAGCAAAGCCACACAGTGCTCATGTGCTTTCTGCACCATTCAAGTGGGTTTTTCATCCTTCAGCCCAGAAAAAGAGACAAATTGAGCCCAAGATCCATGTGCCACATTTGGGATGTGACATCTCTCAGCCTGACGGGCAAAACTGGGCCGGTGTGAGCCAGCAGCCGGCAAACACACTGGTGATTTTCCAAGCAGCCCCGGAGAAGGATCCTCCTCTCCCCTTCCCTCCTCCCTGCTCACGGGTCTGCCTGACCCCCTTTGGAAATGGGACCATCTCCGGGGTGGAGCATCCCATGTTGGTTAAACATGCACCAACTTGGTTAAACTGGGAACAGAAAGGGGATGATAAAAGCAACAGAAGCCGTAACTGGATGTGGTCGTAGGGCTCTAGACTGCAATTAATTAGATTCATTAGTTTCTGTATCTAACCCACATTGCAAAGGCCCTGCAGAGCAGACACAGTGGCCACAGGCTGCTCTGCTCGCCGGGGAGCGCCGGGAGCACCGGCCAGCGATGGACCACAATGCTCTGGCACATGGACATCCCAGGTGGTACCACAGCAGCTGCTCTGCAGCAAAACAGGCACAGAAGGGGCTGCCCTGAGGCTGTCTCTTCACCAGAGAGTCACTCGTGTCCTCCACAAGCGTGTTTCTGCCTCAGGAGCTGGCGAGCGATGCCTTCTGAGAAGGGAGCCCAGTACGAGCGGCCCTGCTGCAGCAGCCAGGCACGGGGCCAGCACAGGGCAAGGCAGCACGGCACGGGAGCAGGGACAGCAGCACAGGAGAGAGCAGTGACAACCCTGGGAGCAGGGACAGCAGCACAGGAGAGAGCACTGACAACCCTCAGGGCGAGCACGATGGCAGCACAGCCACAGCTCTGCTGCCTTCAAGGGAACTGACCCCGGGACGCAGGCAACCAACCCCAGAGCAAAAAAAAAAAGGGAAAAAAAAAACAATCCCAGATTTCTTTCAGCTCAGAGACTAGCATAGCCTAAAGGACCAATTCATCCAGTTCATCAGACAAAAAGGAATTCAAAATGAAACGAAACCTGAAGTGTTTCACCAAACAGAGCACACTGTCCCAGCTCAAGGGCTGGGAAAAGATCCCATCGGCTGCAGAGGGAGCAGCTCTCCCAGCAGTGCCCTCCTCCTCCCCAGGGTCTTTTTCAGGTCAATGGGGGTGCTGGGACCCACAGGGCAGAGAGGGAGGACAACACAGCACCCTCCCTGAGCATCATCACCCTGGCTGAGAAAAGCCACCATCACCTGGATCCCCAGGGCTGCGAGATGGCAGGGACAGAAAATAAAGTCTCCTGGGGTGACAAAAACTCATGCAGCACCAACGCGTGCCCCACACCGAGCCATCACCCCCGCTGCTGCTAGCACCCTGCTCACCCACCCTCCCTCACACCGAACCCCCCCTCTATCACCCCACACGCACCTAAACGTGGGTCCCCCAGGAGAGCTACGAGGATGCTGCTGCAGTCAGGGAGCTGCCCGGAGCATCAGCCGTGGGGTGGCGAGGAGCAGCCGAGAGGCTGCGGCACAGGAGGGACTGGCAGCGTGCCCATGGGGAGCCAGCCAGCTGCAGCTTGGCTCAGGCTACCCCATCACCACCACCACCCCCGGGCAGCCCGACCCTCTCCAACCAGCCCCTCCAGCTGCAGGGACCACGCTGGGCTTCATCTGTCCACCCCCGACCCTTCCCGCTCCCAAGACAGCTGCAAAGTCCCATTTTGCAGGGATGGAGCGGGGACCTCCTCCTCCAGCCCCTCCAGCACCTGCAGTTTTGGGTTCAGAGCTGCCTCCTCACAACGTTGGCAGCTCATTTCCAACCATCCCAGGCTGTATTTTAGCAGGAGGCAGGGAAGGATGTACATGATGGACCTTCACACAGCCGTGCTTTGCAGCATGTGCCTCCCTCCCTAAGTTGTAACTTGCTTTTCTCCTGTGTCCACCGTTTGGGATCACACCTGGAAGCAGGAGGTGGCAGATCTGCAGAGCTGCCCAGGCTTTTTGAGAATATTTGCTCAGTTCTCCACTTAATGGAAGGGAATCGGTGGGGACAACAAATCCCCCTGCCCAGATTTACCACCACTGCGGGGATGTGACACCCAAAAAAGTCCCATCCAAAAGACTTTTGTGGGGGTACCCTGTGAGGTGGGCACTCCTTGGCATGTGGGAGTCCTCTCACGTGCAGCCTGTAAAGAAATTGCAGAAATTTCTCCTTAGAGGTACCCATCCCAACCAGAATTGCTCCCACCAGGTGACTTGGGGAGACGGCAGCGTTTGCAAACTTGGGGGACACAGCCCATCCAAGAGGCACTGACCAGCCCCCTCCCATGTCCATCCTGTGCATGGCCAAGTAGAAAGCTCTGCAGGAGCTGCCCCAAACGACACACTGCTCAGGAGCAAAGTATAGACAAGATTAGGGAGTTCCAGCTCCAGGAAACAAATATAAACGAAGACGCATTGCTCAGACATCAGTTCTGGCTCTGGATAGGTCTCTCCTGCCCAGCAACCCCATGTCAGCACACCAGCAGCACAGGGAAGAGATAGCCACATCCAAAAGAACATGTTTCTCCAGATATCACCAGAAAGAAAACTGGACTGTGCTGTGGCAATGGTGGCCCCTGGCTCTGCTTCAGGCCATGGCTGTGCCCAGGAGGGACAGAGAGGCATCCTGGAGCTCTCTGCCAGATGTGCACAGCAGGCAGATGGCATCCCTGGCCAGCATCTGCCTGTCCCCCCCGGGGCAGCAGGTCAGGGGCTGCTCCACCACAGGCAGTGGTTTGCAGGAGCTCACACACAGCCCTCGGCACACCCCACCACCCGAACAACTCCCCTAAAACACAGTGGCCCCTATTTTCCTGGCATCCCTCACATCCTTCCCCACACACACACATCCCACAGACCCTCTGGGAGAGAAGGGCTGGGGTGCAGGCTGAGCCAGACCCCAGGACTTACAGCGTTGAAAGCTCAGTAGAAGCCTGGCCAGGACTGCAGGCAGCATGAGTAAGTGCCTTCTGCCCACAGAGGGCCAGAAAGGGTTTTACCACTCATTGACCAGCTCACGATAAAGCCCTGCCCTTGACCGAAGGCCATAAATGGTATTTTAAGGTTCTGGCAGCTGCTATGGGTGCCCAGGCTTCCCAGACATACCTGCCACCTCCGGGGCTGCTGGGTTCTCACCACAGAGCCTAGAAGAGCCTCAAAAACAAAACCAGCCTCAAACTCAGCCCCACACCCACTCCACAACCCAGTCGTTTCTCCAGCAGAACAAAGCCAGGAAAGGAACAGCCAAAATACAAACCAAGAGCCCCAGCTCCCCCAGCCTGAGCACTTGGCTCCATCTACACATGGACATCAGCCCAGCGGCACATCCCACCACCACCCAGGAACAGCCTGGGGCATCCCACTCCTGCCTTATCACTGCTGGGTCAAATCTGAGAGTGAAGAAGGGCTCTGGACTAAAAAGGGGGTCTTTGGCTGCTTGAGAGCCTTACTATAACATCACGAGCTTCAGCATCATCGTGAGCTTCAGGAATCAGGCAGGAAGGGACAGGAGATGCCATGGGGCTCTGCCCAGAGACAGGCGTGTGCAAACCCACAAGGGACCCATGGGGTGTTTAAACCCAGTGCCAGGAGAGAAAAGGAGGAGTGAGGAGCTGGGATGGAAAGCAATGGAGCTAGGGGTGAGGGAGGACCTCGCTTCTGCCCTATTTCAGAGGAATGTCACAGCTTTGCCACCCTCCTCCCACCCTGGTCCCAGCCCATACTTCCCAAGGGACAGGACCACCCAGCCTAGGTTTGCAGCTGAATTCCTTCTTCCCTTCACAAACCCTGGGGAAATGACACATAGGGGCAAAAAAGCATTTCACCCTCAAAGCCCCACTGCACGATGCTGAGCTGGCACCCACCAGACCAAGACCGGAGAACAGCGATGGTGAAGGACAGGACACAGCCTGGCTTTGAGCACAACCTTTGGGGACCTTCCTTGCCCATGTCCTGCTGCCAGCGCTGGTGCAAGCAACGCACCAAGTGATGCTCGACCCTGGGCAAGAGCCTTCGGTCCACCCCAGGGACTGCTACTGCCCTGAGAGAGGAGTGGCCTGGCCAAGGTGACATGGTAAACCCAAAACTCCCCCTCCCATCAGCACCACAGACCCCATCATCCCACCCAAACCCACTTGGTCTCCCAGGAGCAGCTCCTCACTGTGCCAGCAGCCTGTGTTGCACCCCCGTGCCACAGGCTGTCCTGGCAAGGTGAGCCTGTGTTTTCCAGGACTTTCAGGATGAGATGGTTTTTCCCAGCATCCCTAAAACCCGCACAGGGCTTCCCCTTGGAGCTTTGCACCCAGGTGTGCTGGGTGCTGAGGTCAGGCATCTTGCAGCACATCAGCAACTCACTCCCGGGAGGTGGGAGACACAATCCCAGTTTGCTGTGATGGAAATCCCAGTGGGCGGTGGGACTCACCCAGCCTGTGGCCAAGCTCTCCTCACCCCCTGGCCATGGTTCCCCCCCCCCGACCCAGAGCGAGTTGGCAGACTCATCCAACCCTCATTATCAGCTCAGGCCGGCACATCAGCAACTCACTCCCGGGAGGTGGGAGACACAATCCCAGTTTGCTGTGATGGAAATCCCAGTGGGCGGTGGGACTCACCCAGCCTGTGGCCAAGCTCTCCTCACCCCCTGGCCATGGTTCCCCCCCCCCGACCCAGAGCGAGTTGGCAGACTCATCCAACCCTCGTTATCAGCTCAGGCCGTGGGCGGCATCCTGCATAATGATGGCCCTCAAACCCACACTCACACCTGCATC